CCCCAAAACCCCAAAACCCCAAAACCCCTTGAGAAGTGAAATCAGCATTCCATAAATCCTTAAAATAGATGGCTGAAGAAATTATATTATTATTTTAATCATTGGAATAAATAAGTGTTTACTTGAATCAACTATGGATCTATCATTCCCAACTTAAATATACCTAAAAGGTGAAGTTTATGACAAATTTATAGAATGTAATTAGCTACTGGTAAAACATAAGTTCGAAGATGCACTCAAAATAGCTGAAGAACTTTAACTCAAATAAAATAAAGAGGAGATAAAAGATGAGTCATTAGAAGATAAAATTGATGCTGTAAAAGAAGATGATCATAATGATGGAGTTTTGGGATAAAGAGAGATTGTTTCAAAATTTATCTTAAAGTACTTAAAGGTTAAGGTTTTGAAGCACTAAACTAATTATCTGGAAGCAGTCAAAGAAGCAGATTTAATACTCAACGACCTTGAAAGGATTGTTTAAGATTAAAAAAATTCATAAAGCTAAGAGTAAAATTAGCTAAGCATGAATCATTTGTACTTGAAGACGAAGTATTGCTAAGCTAAATGCCTTAACAAAGTAGCAGAGTATACCAAAGCTGAATTTGCTTGTGACTAGATTGAATAATTCGAAACTAAATACGATGAGAAAAACGAATCTGGAGAATATTTAGTCTAGGCTTAGAAGTATTGGAAATATGTGGTGAAGGCATAGTATATTAAAGCTAGGCAAATGGAATTGATGATGGAGTTTGAAAGTGCAAAAAAGTACCTTGAGGAGCATGCTAAGCCAGTCCTAAAGAGGATCATTGATCAATTCTAAGAAGATAAAAGTCAATCTTAAACCAAGGATCTAATCGACAATAAGTATAGTTTCTAATACAGGAAGTAGTATACTAGATACTTAAGAAAATTCAGATGCATTAATTAGTGTAATGATATCTTGAAAAACATCTTATCAGACGAACTAGAGTACTATGGATTGAAAAATCTGGAAAACTATACTACTGACTAATTAAATTAATATGTGTAGGAATATCAGCAGAGCTAATAGAATTTAGCTAAACATAAATCTTTACCTTTACTAAAAATAGCCTAGACATATATTGAGCTAGGAAAGAATTATAAGTATTCTCGCAAGTAAGAGGAATCTTTTAGAAGCTTTGATAATGCAGCTAAGTTGATTAAGGCTGCATTTGATGGTAGTGAAAATACATTAAAACAATCAAAAATCTTTTCTAAAAAAGGCATGACAATATTAAAATGCAATAGTTCAACAAACTTTGAAGATAAAGATGTAAAGGATGCGATCTAAAAATTTGATATTGCTACTGAAATACTGTAGAAAATATTTATAAATACCAAGTTTGAGTAAAGAAATTTTATCCTAGCCAAATTGAACTTAAAAAAAGGTGATGTATTCTTGGAGGGTTAGAAAAAAGAAGAAGCTGAGAAGTATTATTTAGTGGCCCAAAATATGACGGGATTTTTATATACAGAAAACCATCCAGCTATATTAATTCCTAATTCTAAACTCTAAAGTTATTACGGAGAATCAGAAAAGGAAGAGGAATTATTGAAATGTAATCAAATTAGCTTAAAAAATATTGAAATATCAACTAAAGCTTTTGGAGATGATAGTATTTATACACTCAAAGCTCATTACGATTATCTGTCCAATAAGATCTTATAGCGAAACTTAGATGAAGCATAGCCTAGTATTTTAAAGTGTAGATAAATTGTGTAAAGACATCACAATGACGATCCTAGAAATCTAATGAACTAGTACTTCTTCATGACTCAGATTCTAGTGGCTATTAATCTAATGGGTACTCCTTAAGAAGAAGCTGCTCAGAGAATTTTACACTATGTATTTTCTTAATAGCTTAGATATGTAGAATAAGACTCTAGTCACCCATTCCTTGAGTAAGTTGTACTTAATTTAGCTATTTATTACAGAACAAGCCAGCAATATGACTCGGCACTTGTAATGTTTCTTCAGCTAAAAAGAATCCAAGAGACTGCATTTGGACCTGAATCTGAGTCAGTTATATACACTTTAAAGAACCTAGGTGTTTGCTACCTAGCAACAGGAGAGAGTGAATAATCAGAAAAGTACTATATCAAAGCAAAGGAAATAATAGAGAAATTAAACCTAATAAGAAAGCCCTCTGAAAATCAATCGTAGTAAGAAAAAGAGGATAATTAATAATTAGCCGCTATGTACTTTAATCTTTATTTGGCAGCAGTGCAAAGAGAAGATTATCAAAAGGCTAGTGAATACAATTTGAAATGCTTAAACTATCATGTTCTAGTGAGTGGCTCAGATTAAACTATTTCATGCACAAATTGCTATTTTATAGAGTCATAGATGGAATTTAGATAGCATAATTTTGACAAGTCTATTGAATATATTCAAAAAGCTTTAAGTATATTTGAATTATAAGATAGAAGTGAATTAGGTAGAAGACCAGATGAGTTGCATTTGATTTAGATTAGATATTTAATTGCTGCTGCTAATATCTACTATGTAAAGCGTGATTATAAAAATGCTCATAATATGGCACTGAAAGCGCGCAATATTAGCAATGATGGCAGTCTTTTCACATTTGAAACTATAACTGATGCAAAAAAGCATGCTATAGAAGCTTAAAGATTAGTTTTAAAATCAGAAGCCCAACTTTAAGGGAAGAGTTCTCTAGATATGAAGCCGATTGAGGAAATTCTTCGTAGAAATCAATTATAGTATTCAATCGGTGAGCAAGAAGAAGAGAAAATAAAGGAATAGCAATAGCAAAAATTAAAGGAGCTCTAGAATGCTAGTTACATGAGATCAGCTTTTGCCGCCTTTGGATTGGTTTCATCAACCTCTTTTTTGCTTTCTTACATGTTACTAAAAAATAGATAATGATTGAATTATTAGTCTAGTTATATTTCCTAAGTACCTAACTATAAAACATATTTATTTGGAAGGGGTTTTGGGGTTTTGGGG